GGGGGGGGGGGGGAAGGAGACTCTGTCGTGAAAGGATTTCGCCCCTTCCTGCGACAGTTGTAAAGTACTTAATCAAGTGGTTAAAACGCTCTTTGGCTGTGCGGGGTGCGGGACTACTTATATCACCTACGGTGGTAGTGCAAGAACGCAGGGCACCACCTCGGTTAAGTTGTCGTATAGTTTTGTCAGCCCGCATCTCTAATAGCGTGACGGAAGTAAATAATAGGTTCGAGTACCCGATACGTCGATATCGTGCCTTTTTTGCCGTTTGGTCGTTAATTCTGTCGAGATTAGGGGGCGGAGGTTATGACATTAAAATTACTCGACATGTAGGAGGGTTGGCCCATCAGATTGTCAGCCCCTCCTCTCGTGTCGCGGATAGCAACTGACACAGATGCTATCTACCTCCCCCACCCCTTTCCCTCCCACTCGGCTATTATGTGCGAAACGCATCTGTACTCGAGGCTACGCCGTTTGCGCGGCGCCAAGCGCTACATGGCACCTGGAACGCGACGGACCCCGCTGCGCCTTGCACGCACGGGGGCCGCTCGAAGTTGGCGCTGACTGGACAGCAACAGCCAGCGACAACACCAGCCCAAACGACCCGTAATGACAATGCCCTTAATGATCGTGTAGGCTGGCTAGGTCAGGGCGACGACATATCAAAAACACTTTGGAAAATGCTGCTAACCCCTGCAAGGATACTCTGGACACTCTTGTCATATATTACAGCAATTTGGCAGTTGTAAGGTACTTTTAAAAGAATCTTTATCTCGGGCTAAAGAAATAATGCCAAACTTTTGGTTAGTCCACCACACCGGATCGGGCCCACACACAAGCAGCTGAAATATTACATTTCTTTCGGCCTTGCTTTGCTCTGCGTCATCCGATCACAATAAGTGCCGTGAGTCAGCCCATGGGGCCTGGCGCGGAGTGGAAATGGGAAAGGAAATGGAATGGCCAGGGCGCGGGCCGCGGGCCGCGGGTTCGAACACCGGCCACTCCGCCGGCGACGCTCAAGATGTAATTCTGCGATTTCGTGGGAATGATAATTGAGAGAGAGGGAGTAGCCGATTGCTATGGGCGCCTTGCGGAAGTGTGTGACATTCAAACACTCATAAGAGCGTGCCAAAATGTCACACACAAAAGAGTGTATGACAACGATGTAGCACACACTCTTTTGTGTCGGACAAGTATACAATTTTTACTTTTTATAGTAAAAACAGTGCACTGGGTGTTGCATAAAAGACACAGGTGCGGGCGGGTTTGCCTACCCAAGGGGCTATGGCGCCTTACGGGCAGAGCGGGTAGGCAAACCCGCCCGCACCTGTGTCTTTTATGCAACAC